GATCCTGACGGTGACGTCCATGACCTTCTTTATCCTGGCGCAGGCCCCAGAGCCCTACATCGTCATCACTGGCTTTGAAGTCACCATTATTTTCTTCTTCATAGTTTTGTATTTATTCAGACTGGATCGATTACTGAAATGTTTATTTTGGCCTTTGCTTGTAAGTGTTTGGCTTGACAGTCAAAAATATCTCCATCCTTTCCCCAGCATTTAGGGAGGCATTTCAATGAACTCCGTGGCCCGGTCCGGGGAAGAAACTCTGGTGGCACAGTGGCTTACGCAGCCCTTTGCAACCACTGGAAAGACTTTCGACTCCTGGGAAACCCACCCGGGCAGTTCTACCCTGTTCTGTAGGATCACTATGAGTCATCATTGTCTTGATGGCAGTGAGGTTGGTTTGGGGATTTGGGGTCCAGTGATGCCTGGTAGGCTCCAGATGGAGGGACCCCACCGTCACTGCGCTCTGTAGTCCCTGGGGGTAGGGCTCAGGAAACCAGGGCCGCCAGAGGGCAGAGGTGGCTCATGTCCCCGTAGCTGTGGTTACCCTGCGGCTACCTTTCTGTTGGGAGAATGCCCTTCTGGGTAGGTCTTCTAAAGATGTTTAGATTTGGGTAACATTATTATGAGAGTCAAGTTTGAGGCTTCGAGGGCAGTGACTTTCGACTTTCGCATGTTGATAAAAGCAGAGAGAGTTATTAAGATTAATGATGCCTCTCCTTTCAGTGCATGTTGCCAGGAGCTCAGAATTGGGGAGAGAGAGAAGCAGGAACAGCAGTGTCTCAGCTCCTGCCTTCCACCTCTCGGATCACAAATGGAAAACAGCTGGGGAGAGAGGGCTGAATCAAGCACAATTTCATGTTCCTTTGAAATGTCTTTCATCAACACTGTCATTTTAACTCATCCCGAAGAATTTTCCATAGTAGCATATAGTCTGGAGCCTGCCATACTCCTAGAATTTAGAATAACAACCCAGTGGAGAATCCAGGTCCCAAAAACTCTCCAAATAGGCAGATTAAAGACAGTTCCAATAGTCGCCGCCGCCTCCCTCTTTGAAGTCTTATCTGCTGCCTCCTTTCTCCAGAGAGCTCCCTCCTAAGTCCTCCTACTCCCCAAACCCCCTTTGCCTGAGATGGTGACCACCATTTTCTCTGCTGTACTTGTCTCTTCCTCAGAACCCCTCTGAAGGGTAGAAGACCCTGAAATCAACCTAGGACCAACCAAGCAAACCACTGCCATTGAGTCCCTCGACTCATAGAGACTCCATAGAACAAAGGAAACGCCCTAGGATGGCTGTGCCTGAAAGCCTTTGCGGGAGGAGACAGCCTCATCTTTCTCCCTTGGAGCGGCGGATGGGTTTGAACTGCTACCTTTCCTGTGGCAGCCCAATGTATAACCCACTCCACCACCAGTGCTCTTTAACCTAGGACGTTCGTCTCAGTATCTCCGACTTTTCCTTCTGTTGTCATTGTGAGGTGCCATCAAGCCCGTGCCAGCCCATGGCAACCCTGTGCACAGGAATTGTTCCCACGCCCGAGCTCATTGCTTTCTGCATAAGTTTTTCCCTATTCCCTTTGAACACCTACTTTCCTAAGCTACCCACATTTTGAAGTTTCACAACTGTGTTCACAATGCCTTTCTACCCCTAGTTATCTGCAAACATATATAAACCACCCAAGGATAAAGAGATTTTTTTCCCCCTCACATGTTATATCCATTCGAAATGTAAGTTACACATCTCAAAGCCACAATTTAAAAGTTATTTTGGGAAATGAATGCGCTTTATCGTCAGAAATAGCCATTGCGAATCACTGCGTTCTGTCAAGAGTTATGTTCAACAGAAAGCCTTGGTAGTGCAGTGGTTAAGTGCTTGGCTGTTATATGGAAGATCAATGGTTCCAGCCCACAAAAAACCCTGGCAGTGGACTCCCATCAAGCCTGCCTGGGAAACCCTGTGGTGAGGCAGTTCTGCTCGGTCAGAGTCGCTGGGTGTTGGAATCCCCTCCAGGGACCCACCTCAGGACCAACAGCAGCGCTGGGTGCTCGTCTTGGAAGTCAGTTTCATACTTCTCGTGTCATTAAGTGCGCCTGCGTGGCATGATAAAGTATACTACAATTTTTACATTATGAAAAGTGAGTTTCTCTAGCTTCCCAATAGGTCTATTTCTCCCCCAAACCAAACCCACTGCCATTCCATCTCATAGCAACCCCTACATAGGATTTCTGAAACTGTAAGTCTTTAAAGGATCAGACAGCTGGTAGGTTTGAACTACTGACCTTATGGCTATCAACCCAGTGCCTACAATGTTCACATAATCCACCAAATAATAGCATCAACTAAATTTCCTAAATTAATAAGTTTTCCAACTGCATCCATGTTAAAGAACGAAGCTTATTAAGTAAGTAAATGATAAACAAATCATGGACAAAGAGAACCAGTAGGTACCATTTTTAACCAACGAACAGTACGGGTGGCATTTTACTGTGGCAGTTTGCTTTCCTGAAAGGTGTGCACATTAGTGTAATAAAATGGAACTTTCCAATGAAATCTTTCCCAAATGTATATGCATACTGTTATTGTTTTTTTTAAGCATTGCTTTGGCATCTTCCTGTAAAACTAGTATTTATATTCTGGGTTTTCAGGATATTATCAACTCTTTGGTAACAACGATATTCCTGACCATTGTATCTGTGTTGGCACTGATTCCAGAAACCACCACAATGACAGTCCTTGGAGGGGTAAGTGCACACCTTTCTGGATTCTTTGGGTTTGATCCAAATACAGATTCATCTGATTTTTTTTTTTAAGTAAATGCTAGATTTGCTCATCGAGGCTGCTAGGCCTGTACCCAGTGCCGAGTGGCTTACTGAATGCCAGCACATGAGTGCACGCCCTGATCCACATGGGGGACTCTGATGTCACTCTCAAACTGCAGGGGCCAAGTTCAGAGGTCCCTACATGATGATATCTGTAGGACTCTCTTGTTCACAAGACTGCATCCCAGGAGCTCAGGAATAATCATTTTAGCCCCCAGGAAAATGACATTCACCACAGTAAACATTCTTCAGACAACAAGAGCCCTTAGGGGGCAGTGTTACCACTAGATCTATTTCTCAGTACCCAGCTTACTTCCAAAAAGGATTTAAGAAAAGACTCAAGTAGAATAAAGGTGAAACACGTTTCATTCTAATGAGGTGGTTTTTTTAAGTCCCTGGCGAAGTTATAAAAGTTTAAAATAAAGGAGAATCATATCAGAAAACCAAGACTGGTTACAATACTTAGCCAGGGGTGGGGGCCTGCCACCTTTGAAGGAGAGGCAGACAGTTAAGAGTCTGTTGTTTCTTGTTTGGATCCTTCTTCAGATGGAGTATAATAGGGATGCTCTTGAGATAAGGGAAGGGTGGCCAAGCCAGAGAGGAGGATGCTGGACTGACGCCCTGGTGACTGTGGTGATGCTGCCTCTTTGTTTTCAGGTGTTTGGACTCGTGTCAGCCATGTGCTGTCTGGCAGATGGGGCCCTCATCTACCGGAAGATTCTGTTTAACCCAGGTGGCCCGTTTCAGAAAGGGCCATCTCTCGACCAAAGGCATGTTTTGTAATTTTGTATCCCGTTCCAGCTGATGCCAGGTATTAGAAAGCTTTCTGCTGGACCCCTGACAGGATGTGAGGAGAAGGACGCTTCAGCCCCCGGACCTTGCCCTCAAAGCCCCAAACCCCGGTCTACCAACCAGAAGAACATCAGACAAAGCCAAACTGAGGCACGCTGGACCGATCTGCCACCAAACTTCCAAGTTCCTCAAAAGCACTGAAGGGCTGAGAAGCCACCACCAAGCGGAAGAGACCCAGTGCAATGACAGCTGAAAGCCACGCCAACGGGAAAGCTAGTGCCTCTGAACCCGACCGGAGCTTCCTTAATGGGAAACAGACGCTGGTCTCTCCGATTTGGTGGCTGACTGTTCCTGGAAAACTTGATGTGCCTGCCATATATGGGAACTCTTTCAACTCTCTTTGTAGCTTTGTTGAGAAATTAAACCCATTTAAAAAAAATCTGTCTTTTTAACAGTTTTATTAGCACTTCATCAACCTGTCATCCAATTCAGTCATTCAGTCCATTCAGAAGTTTGTCACCACATTCAATCCTGGAACACTTTCTTCCTTATACTCATGCATTCACCTATTTTTTTTCTAATCATGGAAAAAATATGCACAGCAAAACATCCTCCAATTCCACAACTTGTACCTGTATACGTCGGTGCCACTGATGATTCTCCTTGTGTTGTACAACCATCATTGATACCCTTTTCCAGATTATTCCATGACCATTACCATAGACTCGTCCCCTAAGCAGCTACTCTGTCTCCTTCTCCATGGGTCAACTTTGGTTACTTTTTCTTTTTCAGTAGTTTTATTGATGGGTTGTTCACATTTATACGCTTCCATGGTGAAATCGCTCTTTCTCTTCTTCCCCATCTAGCTGAGAAGCAACAAAGCCCACATGGAAGAAGCACACCAGCCTGTGTGATCACGAAGTTTCGATGGGATCAGGTATCAGGCATCAAAGACCCAGAACAAAAAAATCATACGGGGAATAAGGGGGAATGCAGAGTAGGAACCCAAAGTCCATCTGTAGGCAACTGGACACCCCCTTACAGAAGGCTCGCAGGGAGGAGAGGAGCCAGTCAGGGTGCAGTGTAGCAACGATGAAACATACCACCTTCCTCTAGTTCTTTTTTTTCCCCTTTCAATCTTTATTTTTTCTTAATCATTTTATTAAGGGCTCATACAAC